TTATGGAGGATGGTATGGATGGATGGATGGCCGTGCGACGGATGGACGGACGGACGGACGGACGGACGGACGGACGGACGGACGGATGGATGGGCGCGGATGGATGAATGGATAAAAAATGGACGAATAAATCGGCAAATAGTTTAATGAATTGGTGAATTATTTCGCACACCTATACACTACGCTAATAACAACTCATGCATTTGATCTTTGTTATGAGACGACGAAACCCGGGTTGCTTGGCGCTTCACTAATTGGACAAAGACTATACGCTTATCTTTACGTTATCTTAAGGTGTCGAATGTGCACGCCACGTGCGTGCCTGCTGCTTTCATCTCGGGTTCGTCGCGAAAACCGATGTGTACGTAAGACATGTTCGGAACACGCGTCGGATGCGGATCAAGATAAAGTGTCGAACAACTGGGAGTATCGTATGATATTTTGTTTAGAAGCGCGCGCGCGCAAGCCGTCTCTATGCATCTGGCCTATTAGGACTTATATCACTGCCACGTACGCCAGTGTCTCGTGGCTTTTTTTTTCTGTGGGTGGCTTGCTCGGTCGTAGAGCGTGTCTGTGGTAAAATCTCGCCGCTTAATTATTAAACCCTGGAACTTTGTTGCATAAATCAGCGGAGACGCTGTGCGTGGGCGCGGCACACGATGCTCGCGTACGTATCCCGCTGCTAAGGCGCAGCGGATGAGTTTTTAGGTTTTACGTGTGACTCATCGGCTCAATATCCACGCGAGCGCATGCATAGGCTAATGAGCGTACTATTGCTACTATACAGCGGGCAACTACGCCCGTAGAAAGTCTGCCCGCGTCATTGGGATTATACACAAGGATGTGGATCTCACGAAGACATTTGCGTATTTGATGAGGGAGTGACCCACGACGCCACGTCTTTCATGAATATGTATTTGATCATCAATCGAAAACGCCACCCGATCGCTTTAGCTGTGCATGTGAAATAATGCTACGGATACTGATGCTGGGAATCTCTGCGCTAATTATGCGCGATCGGACAAATAATCACGGCTAAACAGAACTATACCACATTAATACATTTTGCATGCTGCAATGACTGACGACCTTAGCGTGAAATCACTGGTATACATGATGGTCGATCTAACAGAAGCTCACTGTTCTACGTAATTTACCACTGTGTTCATCTACACTCCTATAGATATATGGTCTACTAGTTAGACTCATAACCTAGTACAGTCTCTCTGTACAATTATATGTCCGATACAGTAATCACTTCGATTGTTCCGTAGCCTAGTTGGTAAGAGCATTTCATCTTACTCCTCTTCTCAACCAGTTAGCACCGTATCGCTTCACATGTGAGAACGTATATGTGACTATAGGCATTCGAAGCTCGTGATATGAGAGACCAGCACACGTCGTGTATTTGAAGATTGATTACGAGTGTGACTGTACCGTTATGTTGCAGTCACCCCCCCCCGTGTCTTTAGAAATGCATGAATGAAACTTATACACGACTGGAGTTAGCGCCACGTTCTGCTATTTACTATACGTTTGAGGATTCTGCTCTGCGACTACGTTTCGCTTTTTCCTGGAGGTATTCTTGCAAATAAAGTTGCTAACAACGATTCCCTAATCACGTGCTCTTGTCCGCCTCGGGCTTTCTACGATGCAAGGTGCCGCGCGTGCGTTTTCGCGTCTTCATCTGTACGCCCGCCCGGAGTCACAATGTCATATGCTTTACAGTCAAAGAACCCAGCACGTACAGTCAAAGAACCCAGCACGTACAGTCAAAGAACCCAGCACGTACAGTCAAAGAACCCAGCACGTACAGTCAAAGAACCCAGCACGTACAGTAGCACGTTGCGAAGGCACGCCGTGAACTGAGCTACAATCGTAATAACAATAATAATTTATATGGTAGAATTATTATGTTCCCATGGCCTTCGGGAAATTGTTGAATTGGAATATCCGGGTCGCACGCACTATAATCTGTCACCTGTCAGGTTTAATTTATGACGGTGTTATCATGTATATTATGCTAATCCTCCCAGTCCTCGACATAAATAAAACTAATAATAACTTTTAGCATAATGACTCCATGCATACATCGGAATTAGAAGTCGAATATCCTGCATCATGTATATAATGTGTCTATAATTATAATTATATGCGTGGTACACCGTACATAGTCATATGCAAACGCATAAACCCCATGCCTGCCCGCACGCACACACGCACGCACACATTCACTCACACATATACACGTGCATATACGCAAAAGATACACGCGCACCCCACACGCAAATACACACGCACGCGCACGCGCGCGCGCACACACACACACACACACACACGCGCGCATGCACGCATACACACGCATACACACGCACACATGAGCGGCAACCTCATAGAAGCCACTTCTATTCTTCTGCGACAAAGATGCTAAAACATTATAGTAGCCAGTACCCATTCCGCCGAAATAGCGACAATAAAAAACTCTGCTGCGTGATTATAC